ACATATAAATAAGCAAATAAAATAAAGGTCCATCAACAACTAAAAAAATAAATAAAAATGATTATACATTTAGTTTCTATTGGTTCATAGTAAATAGTGGCATACAATATATGAATACAGTTAAAATTATATAATATTAAGATACTGTAGTATGTAAGTATGATACTGGGTGTTGTTTTATTTGTACAAAACTTTACACACATAATAACATGCAGTTGTATAAAACTTAATACGAAACAGTGTTATCCCTTACAGCTACTAATATAGTGTCAGTTATATTTAATTTGTATCCATAACCAATAATGTTATTTCAAAAGACCATTTCTAAAATGTTGCATTGAGAATTTGTGGCTGCTTTGAAAATACTGGGTGACAGGCTGAGGGTGTAGCTCAGCGGTGGAGCACTTGCCTAGCACGTGGCAAGGTCCTAGGTTCCATCCCCAGCAGTGGGAAAAAAAAAGTCCCTCCTGTGGGCCTGGGTGGGTTGCCATGGGCTGCCCAGGTGATGGTGGTGGTGGCATAATCATGTGTCCTGTGCTAATGGCCAAAATGAAACCCTTATCAGAATGGCACTTAGGGCCTGAGGCATGATGTTTATCTCTGAGGAGGTGGCATTCCTGATCAAAAGGTAAGGAGGCCGAAGCAGCCCTGCAGAGTACCGTAAAGTTCTTGGGATCAGACAGCCAGCATCTGACAGTTCTTTTCTCACACAGATGGAGTGAAAAATGTCATGTTTTCTGTTTGCTTCATGCAGATGTGCGAGTCTAAGCAGCAAATGTCTGCAGGTGAACTTGCTGAAGCAAAGGGAGCTAGCAGGCTGTGGTGGTGCCAGGGCCACTCAGCAACCGTGGCCGGGGTTGCAGTGATCCAAGGGTCTTCAGAGTAAAAGGAAGCAGTCTGTGGGCTGGGGATGTGAGCTCACGAATGAAGCTGTCTCAACCAGTGGAGAGCGGCAAATGGAAAATTCAAAGGATGGTTTCGTGGGGCAGGAGGTGGGAGGTGGCCCCGGGAAAGAGGCACCTGAGTAGATGCAAGGCACTGGTGACTTTCTTCTTTAGTTGGGTGATGGCTTCTTGGAAAAAAAATATTGAGATGGAATTCACTGACCACACACCCTTTTAAAATGTGTAATTCAGTGGATTTTATCATATTCACAGTTGTGTGAACAGCATCACAATCCACTTGTATAACATTTTCATCCTCCAAAAAGGAAACCCCAGACCCATTACCAGTCACTCCCCATTTCCTCCAAACCTCCTCCCCAGCCATAGGCAACCACTTTTACTTTCTTTCACTATGGATTCACCAAATCTGGGTATTTCATGTAAATGGACTCTTACAGTAGTGGGGGGGAAGGAGACTGGTTTCTTTCACTTAGCAGCATAATCTCTTATAATGCATATTTTCAAGATTCGTCTATGCTGCAGCAGGTATCTGTGGTTCATTCCTTTTTATGACAGAATAATGCCCCACTGCACGGATGGGCCACCTCTCATTTCTCATTTGTCAGTTGATAGACATTTGGGTTGTTTCCATTGCACAGCATTATGACAATGCTGCTATGAATATGAATATTCTTGTCCAAATTTTCATGTGAACATAAGCTTTTGTTTCTCCCAGGCATGTACCAGGAGAGGGATTCCTGGGTCCCGCAGGGGCTCCATGTTTCATCTGGGGAACATCTAGACTGGTTTCCACAGCAGCCGTGCCGGGTTACGTTCTTAGCAGAAGCACATCAGCATTCCCATTTCTCCTCATGCTTGCCAACGCCTGTCTTTTTGTTTTTAGCCATCCTGGTAGATACGAAGTGGCATCTCGATGTGGTTTTAATTTGCATTTCCCTAGTGGCTAATGACAAGTGAGCATCTTTCCATGTGCCTCTTGACCATTCATATGTCTTCTTGGAGAAATGTCTATTCAGATCATTTGCCCACTTTCTCATTGGTTTTGTCCATCTTTTTTTTTTTAATTGTGTTAGAAGAGTTCTTGGTGTTTACTGGCTACAAGTCCCTTGCTTGTCACATACCCAATCATCTACACATATGTCTCCCTTTCTGTGGGTTGTCATTTTGGTTTCTTGATGGTATCCTAGGAAGTAAAAATATTTTTATTTTTGGTAGACTTTAATTTTCTCTCCATTTTTCTTTGGTTGTTTTGTGCTTTGGTGTCACATCTGTGAATTCTGCCTAAACCAAAGATTCACCCTGATGTTTTCTTTAGGAATTTCATAGTCTGGGCTTATACATTTAGACCTGATGAATTTAGAGCTCATTTCTGTGTGTGGTCATCCTGTTGTCTCAGCACCATTTGTAGAAAAGACTATTTTTGCCTATTGAATTGACATGCTGCCCTTGTCAAAAATCAATTGATAATGAAGGTGAGGGTTTATTTCTGGACTCCTAATTCCATTTCATTGAACCTCACGTCTGTCAGTCATGCTGTGTCTTGATTTCTAAAGCTTTCTCATAAGTTTCAAAATTGGGAAGTATGAGTCCTTCAGCTTTGTTCTTTTTCAAGGTTGTTTTTGACTATACTTGGTACCTTGCAATTTGGATTTTAGGATCAGCTTGCCAATTTCTGTGGGGGAGGGAGCCAGATGGCATTTTGATAGGGATTCTGCTGAATGCAAAAATTAATTTGTAGAGTCTTGTCACCTTAACAGTATTAAATCTTCTAAGCCCTGAATACGGGAGGTCTTTCCCCTTCTTTAGGTTTTCTTTAACTTCTTTCAATAATATTCTGGAGTTTTTCAGAGCACAAGTTTATGTTTCTTTTGTTAAATTTATTCCTATTTATTCTTTTGGATGCTATTAGAAATGGATTGTTTTCTTCCATTTTTGTGGTGTTTGTTGCTAATGTGTAGAAAAACACAATGTTTTAACATATTGACCTCATATCCTGTAAAGTTGCTGAACTTAGTTAACAGTTCTGGTAGATTCTAGTGGGTTCCTTAGAATTTTTTATGTATAAGATCATGTCAGCTGCATAGAAATAGCTTTACTTCTTCCTTTCAAATCTAGATACTTTTTATCTCTTTTCTCCTGACCTGCCTTCCAGGTAATTTCCTTGGCTAGAACTTTCAGTAAAGTATTGAGTAGAAGTGGTGCGAGCAGGCATCTTTCTCTTGTCTTGGCCTAGGGGGACAGTTTAGCTGTGAGGTTTTCATACCTGCCCATTACCAGCTGAGGAATTGTCCTGAGCCTTGTGTGTGGAGTGTTTCTATGATGTGAAGCATTAGAGTTTTTGTCAAATGCTCTTTCGGGCACTTAATGAAAACATCATATTTTTTTTGTCCTTTATTCTATTAATAATCATGTTTAACATTACTTTGGGATTCAAATGTTAAACCAATTTTGCATTCTTGGGATAAACCCCACGTGGTCCTTGTGCATAGTTGTTTTTGTATGTTGCTAGGTTCAGTGTGCTTGTGTTCTATTGAGAATGTTTGCATCTAAAATCATAAGAGATTTTGGTCTATGGTTTTCTTTTCTTGTGAAGTATTTGCTCTATGTTTGGTTTCAGGGTAATACTGTCCATTATGGAATGAATTGGAAAGTAGTCCCTTTTATTTTGGGTGAGAGTTTGTAGAAAAGTTGATATTCTTCTATAAATATTTGGTGGAAACCAGTGAAGCTATCTGGCCCTTGATTTTTCTTTGTGGAGAATTAAAAAATTAATGCAGTCTCTTGCTGTACGGTTTCTTCTTGAGTAAGTTTTGGTCATTTGTATCTTTCTAGGCTTTTATTTATTTCACCTCAGTTCTCTAATTTGTTAACACCCGATTGTCCAGCCTGTTCCCTTAGGCTTGTTTTTATTTCTGTAGAATCAGTAGTGATGTCATCTCCTTCAATCCTTTTCTCTTTTTTCTTGGTTAATTTGGCTAATATTTGTCAATTTTATTGACCCTTTCTATGACTAACACTGGTGTTTGTTCTAAAAAATCACACCATGTAAGTTACACATATGTTACATATAATCTGTTGTATACATAAAATATTGCACAGTAAAATTAGAAAAGTGATGAAGAGGGAATTGTGGAGCAATTATTTATCTTAAGTTTACTAGGGATGGAGTCCTATAGTTGAGCTCCCTACTGAATTATTGGCTTATTCAACTAAATTCATTTCCAATTTATTGAGGATTCTAACTTTAAAATAAGACTACTATCTGCTTCCCATGGCAAAGAAGTAGTTGATACAGCATGAGATCCTTAGTTGAAAGGAGTGAAAAAGCGCTCATACCAGTCCTTGCAGTATTGACAAGCCTGACGGGGCTAGGGCAATAAGTACCACAAACAGGGTGGCTTAAAACAACAGAGATTTTAATTAATTAATTTGGGTGCTGAGCATTGCACCCAGGGCCCAGAGCCTGCTAAGACAACAGAAATCGATTATTCTCTCAGAATCCCAAATCAAGGTTTCGGCAGGGCCACACTCTTCCCTGGGAAACCCTCGGGGAGAATCCTTCTTTGCCCTTTCTAGTTTCTAGTGGTTGCTTGAAGCCCTTGCAATTCCTTGGCGTAAAGCTTTCCCAGTCCAATCTCTGCCTCACAGGACCGCCCTGGGTGTTTCTTGTGTACTCCAGTGTGGCCTCATCTTTGTGCATCTGTGTGTGTGTACGGGAGTGTCCCACCACTGAGTTACATACACCCCAGGCCTTTGTATTTTTTATTTTAGGAAAGAGTCTCACTTAGTTGCCAGGACTGGCTACCAACTTATGATCCTCCTGCCTGAGCCTCCCAAGTAGCTGGGATTACAGGCGTGTGCCACAATGTCTGAATGACCTCGTCTTACTAATTACATCTGCAAAACCTGTATTTCCAATAAGGTCCTGAAGGTTAGGACTTCAACATATCTTTCTGGGGGGCACAATTTTACCCTAACAGACTTGTTCCAAGTTGACTGTGAACATCAGTCTCTTCCTTTTCAGTTTTTAGAAGTATAACAACAAAGTGTCTTTCCTGTTTACCATGATCTTTTTTTCTTAAATTTCTTCCCTAGATTGATGACATGTTTAATGAAATCAAATTTAGTAAATACGTGGACACTGGAAAGCTAATTGACAAGATCAACCTACCAGATTTCTTCAAAATTTACCTTAACCACAGGCCACCTTTCGGTAACACCATGAGTGGCATCCAGGAGAGCTTTAAAGTTCTTGGTTATACCAATTCCAAAGGAGAAAAGGCTATTCAGAGAGAAGATTTCCTGGAACTGCTCCTAACTAAAGGTAGATACATGAAGGGGGTCTCTGGTAACATCCTTGGGTTGTTCTAAGTAGGGAGAACCAACCTAGGCGAGACAGACCCCTGGGATCTCCATCCATCGTGAAAGAATAGTAATTTGAGAGCCTTTCAACCATGAAGGATGCTGCAACTGTATTCCATATCCAGCAAGTTGGGGTGAGGGGAGGGACCCTACATGGTTCATGTCCCAGCCTCCGGAAACTGCCAATTTCATCATCCTCACTTATAAAATGGGGATTCAAATGCCAGCTTATCACTCTCACAGGGCTAGCATCAGATTGGGATATATTCGGGAAATAAAACTTCACCAAAGTAAGCTTTTATGTTTACCTGCTGTCTTCCACATTATTTTATGTGGGGGGTCAAGTCAGCTTTCTCTCAGAGGAAGGGGAGGTTCCTGTGAGTCTAATTAGGGGGTTCTGGTGAAGGGAACTTGAAGATAAAGCTGGGCAGTCCCTTATTTCCTCTCTACAAGCCCCAGCATATCTCCCTGATGGGAGCACACTTTTATTTTTTTTTTTTTTTTAGTATTTATTTTTTAGTTTTTGGCAGACACAACATCTTTGTTTTATATGTGGTGCTGAGGATCAAACCCGGGCCGCACACATGCCAGGTGAGCGCGCTACCGCTTGAGCCACATCCCCAGCCCCTGGGAGCACACTTTTAACATCACTTGAGGAAGTGCTCTGACAGTGAATGGGACTCTCCTAAGTGTTTTGTGTGTAAAGAGAAGGGAATAGCAGAATAACTGAACACCTTGAAGAGTGGAAGCTGAGACCTTTGGCTTGATGACCCCAAACTCAGATCTCATGCTTGGCCCCCAGAGCTGAAAAGCCTCCTTTTGCTCTTTGATGCCCAGGTGAGCACATGACAGAAGAGGAGATGCATGACTGCTTTGCCACACTGTTTGGCCTGAATCCTGAGGGGTGGAAATCGGAGCCTGCGGCCTCGTCTGTCAAAGGTACTGGGGCCGGCTCTGTCTGGGCATGCAGCTGTGGCTTACTAATTTGTTGTAGACTTAAGTGTGTTTATCTCTCCTGACTGGCGCAAGCCACTCTCCTTAAGACTGTGCACTCCACAAAGTCGGCCTGCTGGGAGTCCCACCTGAATAAATTATGAGGAGCCCTGTGCAGGGGCTCTTGCTGCCAACGAGAGCTTCTGCCCCTGCCCTCTGCTGTCCTTTTGTGTCTCCTGGCCTTGCTCTTTCCTTTAGTTCACCAACCTGATCTTCATCCCATTAGTCAAGGGTTTTTGCGTTAAGCGGGTGAACACCAGCCACTAGTAGAGGGTGCATTGTGGCAACGGCTTCAAGACAAGAGTATTGACAGGGAGACACAGATAAGGAGAGACAACAGCTTGGTGGCGGCACAAGCCCAGCTTCAAGCTGTGAGAACATTAGAGTGCTTCGGGACGGTCCTGGGCTGGGGTGTAGCTCCATGGTAGAGCCCTGGCCTAGTGTCACCTGGCATACTAGAGCCTGCTCCCCCAGGACTCAGAAAATAAATTAACAAGTACATAAATAAATAAGTAAATGGGATCCTCCTTCTTGGCCTTCCCGGATTCTCCACCCTCTCCTTTTAGTCCACTAGCCTGAAACGCTGCTTGAACTTATACTCAGGAGGAACCAATCCAAACAGCCCTTCTGGGCCTTCTTAGGCTGGAATGTCTCCAACAACACGTCCCAGTGGTCAGGGCTGCTACCTACTGTGACAAAGTTTCCCTGCCTATCTCCCTAATTCCACTCCTTCTTTTATTGTCCATTCCCAGAATCTAAATTTTTAAAAATATTTATTTTTAAGTTTTAGGTGGACACAGTATCTTTATTTTACATTTATGTGGTGCTGAGGTTCGAACCCAGTGCCTCATGCATGCTTGGCGAGCGCTCTACCACTGAGCCACAACCCCAGCCCCCCTCCCCCAGAATCTAATTAAACAAAGTTCCTGAACTCAGAAAATTCTGGAATTCGGTATCTGATGGCTACCCATTCCTTTGTGTACTTTGGATCTCAGAACATGGCTTTCCTGATCATTAGATATTTACCTTTTGTTTCTAGGAATCTTGAAACAGTCAATGATGGTCAAGGGTTTCTAGCAAAGATTGCAGAGATTTGGGTAAAGTAGAGATTTGAACTGGTTTCCACCCAGTGGTTTTCAAAGGGTCAAAGTCAAACCACAGCACAGAGCACCTCTTGCTCTTGTTTGGTGTCTCCCCTTGTGTTTTTGGAACGTCCTCTGTGTTAGAAGCCTCATTAGTGGAAGGCATTTGGTTTTCTCCTCTTGTTTGGCCAGGCTCAAAAATTTGCCTCAAAGAAGAACTTCCAGACGAAATCACTGCGGAAATATTCGCGACTGAAATTCTTGGCTTAACCATTGCAGAAGATTCTGGATGATATGGTCAGTGAAGCTGTGAGGAATGTTTGAAGCACAAAGGACTTGTGCGTGCATTTTCCAAGAAGCATTACTTTTTCTGCATTTGTTTCTCTACCCCCACTATAATCTTCAGAACATTTAGACATTAAAAGAAAATTTCTTTTAAGCTTTGGAATTTGCTAAGTTGGACATTCCAGTGTTTCTGAAATAGAAAAGTGGGCGGAGACAAGAACAGCCCTAGCAGCTGGGTGTACATGGCGGCTGGACACCCGGGACTGTCTTCGTGCCTCATCTAAGGCAGTTCTTCCTGGACAGGTTTGCATAGCATACAGCGGGTCTCAGCCAGCAACAGACCTTCCTGTTGACATAAGTGGTCCAGGGAAATGATAGTCAGTGGCCCTATTCCCTTCCCCTGGAGTGTCACCTGGGCCCTTGGCCTAATGTGACTCAGTATGGATCAGCTCTGCCTGTTGTGAAGCTGGCGAGGAGGTGCTGGGTGCTCTGGGCTCCTGAGAGTCACCATCTGTGGCTTTTTCTCAGCAAAAACCCAAGCAGTTGTGTGTGGCTGTTAAGATGAGCACCACTGGCCATGCTTAACCCTGGTGGCAACTGCCAGAGGGAATACAGAAGCAGCTGGAGCCCTGGTGCTGCACCTGGGCCAGAGCCCCGTGCAGCCCCACCCCTATGGGCCAGTACCTCCCCTTGCACCGCAGACTAACCAGCAGGGTTGTGGTCGCTTCACCACCTCACACTCTGCTTGACTTCCGGACAGATAGTGGGCAAAAGCAGGGGCTAGTTCCTCAGCTCCAAGGACATGTAGGGGACATCATCACTAAGTTCACAGTGGTATTTTGGCCTCAGAAATAGCATAGCATCACAGTGTGAGCAGAGGAAGGTTAGGATCTGATCTTAGAGCTTTGTCATCATTTCTGAGGCCTTGGTCAGGCAAACATGTCCAGTGCTTCCATCCAGCATGCTCAGTCCAGCACACCCACACCTCAACCTACGCATTTCCCAGAGAAACCAGCACCAAGATAAAGTGCCACTCTCCTAAGGAGCAGTCCCCAGGAGATAAATCCAGCAGGAGCAGCCGCCGCTTCCTGTGTTGAGCCTTCTCACTGCCTCATGTCCAGTTGGAAATTTGGCATAGTGAGAGTCTTTGGAACACCCTGGAACATGGAACGGAAGAAACCATCTGCCCCAAACCAGGCTGTGTCACAGCGACCTTGGGGCAGATGGTGCGAGCCAAGGTTCTGTAGGCGCCCGCTTGTTGGAGCGTCACCAGGGCTCTGCAACCTCGTTTACATTTTGTTCTTTAAAAAAAGCACAAAAATAAAAACAAGCTTTATACATCAATTTTACAGCTGCTAAGGACTTAGGAGATATATTACCAAGCCAGATAAAAAAGTTTCCGGGGACGTTTTAGGGAACAGGAAACTCACGAATGACTTGTTGTTCTCTTTAAAAAATAATTCAGAATTGGACAAGCGTGGACACCAATCAGGGGCTTCTTTCATTAAATCTGGTGCCCTTCCATTTTGATCTTATCAACTACATATATTGGAACAGCTGTCTTAAGCAGAGCTGACCGGGATCAGTTGGACCCGGTAGAGTTTGGGACCACTGTGAAACCCAGGCCGCGATGCTCTTTCTGGGCTGATCCAGCCGTGGTGGAGGGAGGCGAAGTCCTGGTTATGTTTGTTCATCCAGGAAGACCAAAATAGCTGCGACTGTAGGATGGGTATCAGTGACGTTCCCAGCCCACTTCCAGCCTAGCCTGGCAGGGCCCTTCCCACCTTGAGACCTCTATCAGTAGAGGCCTTGGTTATATTGTCTCTTGACTTCTTTGACAGAGGCGGAGTTAGACAGTGTCCCCTTTTAACCCCTTGAAGGTCCCTGCACTTCCCACCCCAGACAGGCCCAGCCTCAGAGAAGAGCCTGGGCACCAGCACCCTGGCCCAAGAGAGGGGATAGGCAGCACAGAGAGCTCAGAGTCTCCAACAATGGGAATGGCAGAGCGGGAACAACAGCAGGAGACAACAAAGAGACAAAAGACAGTGTCACTGAGCTTGTGTATCAAGACTTAGGGACCAACCACTAATTACCACCCAAAAGCACATTGTGATGTTTTTATAAAGTGACCACTGTTGACAGCAGGGCCTCTGGGTAGTTGTTACTTGAAGGTCAGGAACACGGGGACTAGCAGTGGCCTTCCATAAGCACTGAGAGCCTCCCCCAGCCCCAGGCCTCTCCCCTCACCCCAGGCCCCTCTGGAGGGTGGCCACTGTGGAGGCTGCCGACTTACAGACTCGAAGACTCGGCTGGGCTCCTGTTCTGTGTCGTTCATGGCTCCCTGTGCACCGTGCGGGTGGCCGAGCCCTTCGACCTCAGTTTCCTCCTGAACAACTCCTGGGTGGTTGTGAGGATTAAAAGAGACAGTGCAAATAAAGCAATACTGGCACAGGGTAGTGCTCCAAATCTGACAGCAGCTATTCTTATCACAGGCAGAGACTGTTCTGGAGAGCGGGGAAGACATTTGGAGAGAATTGCTTCACACCTGCTCAAAACTCTCCTAGTTTTGACCATGGGCCCTGAGTAAGTTCCTCTGAAATCATTATATGAGTGAACTTGAAACTTCAGTCCTCTTTTAACAACTGACTTAGCTTTTGAATCAAAGTGAATTTCAGGTCCTCACAGGGCCCTCTGCACCAGGATTGGCAAGCTCTCTATAAGGGGCTTGAGAGTCAATATTGAGGCTCTTTGAGCCAAATGGTCTCTGTCACAATTTCCTAGTCCTGCAGTCATGGCAAAAATGTCACTTAGATACTACAGGAAAGAGTAACTGTGGCTGCTTTCCAATCCAGCTTTATTTATGGTCACTGAAATTTGGATTTCATGATGATTTCCATGTATCATGACATATGCTTCTTTGGATTTATTAATTTTTTTTTTGTTGGTTTTAGTTTTGCAGTACTGGGGATTGAACCCAGGGGCACTCTCTCACTGAGCTACATCCTCAGAACCCCCCAGAACTTTCTGACAAGAGCTTGTTGAATTGCTGAGGCTGGCCTCAAAGTTGTGATCCCCCTGCCTCAGCCTCCTAAGTTGCTCAAATTACAGATGTGTGCCACCACCAACAGCTAGATTTTTCAACCACTTTAAAAATGTGAAAGCCATTCTTAGCTTGAGGGCTGCACAAAACCAGACCACAGCCCGGATTTGTCCCAGAAGCTATAATTCACCCACCCGTGCCCTCTGACAAATTTTTACAAATACAATAAATCTGTATAAAATATCTGGCCTCTACTCTTCAAAAAGTGTCAAGGTCAGGGCTGGGGTTGTGGCTCAGCGGTCGAGCACTAGCCTAGCACGTGTGAGGCCCTGGGTTCAAGCCTCAGCACCACATAAAAATAAATAAGTAGAATAAAGGTATCGTGGCAACTACAACTAAAAAATAAGATATTTTTTTAAAAAAGTGTCAAGATCATGATGAAGATAAAAGATTGAGAACCAGTAAAGACAACATGGCAGCTAAACATAACCTGGGAACCCAGATGTGTTCCTGAAACAGAGAAAGGACATTGTTGGGAAAACCAGTGAAATGCAGATCTGCACTGGTGTTGATTTCTTGGTTTTGGTAAATGCACCATGTTTCTGTGAGACCTGTTCACCTTGGGAGAGCTGGCGGAGGGCAGGTGGGAACACTGTGCTATCTTGGCACTTTTCTGGAAATCTAAAAGTACTCCAAAGCTGAGTACCGGGGCGCACACCTGTAATCTCAGAAGACTGAGGCAGGCAGGTCGCAGCTTCCAGGCCAGCCTGGGCCACTTAGCAACCCCCTGTCTCACAATAAGCAATAAAAGAACTGGGGAAGTAGCTCAGTAGTAGAGGGCCCCTGGGTTCAATTCCCAGTACAGCAAAATAAATAAAATAAAATAAAATAATTCCAAAATAAGAAGGGTGAAATCTGTGCCACTTTTCTAACTCAGTTCCCCCAGATTTTTCTCCACCTCTTCCCGCGCCTTTGCTCTCCTGCAAACACTCCAGAAAAAGCTGACGCCACGGACCCCCTCGCTGCCTGTTCTGAACAAACCTGGCCTTTGTGGGCTTCAAGGTGATGCAAACCAAAAGCATCCCCCTCTAAGCACGTGTCCTCAGGCTGAACCAGCTTGGTGTTTTCTGCTTGATCATGTCCTTTAGGGATTTGGCCCGCAGTTCCCCATGTGCAGCTGTTTCACAATTGACTGTCACAAACAGACACAGGGCCCTGGGAGTCAACGGCACCTTGCCACCTACTCAATGTCATGTGACCACCCTCCTCTACCTCAGCCGGAAGGAATATGAAGGAAAAGAGAAAGGATGGACAGAAAGGAGGGAGGAGAAAAGGAAACGGTAGAAAGAGAGAAAAAACAGAGAAGCTGGGGACACAGAGTGCGTGCTCAGCACGTGTGAGGCCCTGGGTTCAATCCTAGCACCCACAACAAAAAGACGTGTGGACTCAGTATCTTCCATGTGACCTTAACGGGTGCTTCCACCAAGGCAGCCCTCGCCTTTGGTGAGTCACAATGGATGTTTCTCCACGCCCAGGTGAGACTCTTTAGGCCCAGGCAGATAATTGTCCAGCTGGGGTCTCACGCAGTGGGAGAGGGCTGCCTGGCACGTGCAAAGCCTTGCCTCAATCCCAACGCCGTAGAAAAGGAAAAATAATTGAAAAAAGTAAGACCACTGTCCACCAGTGACCTCATTTTCCTTGAGAGTTTGAAATTGGTGGTGCCAAGAGGTAGCAATGGGGAGGCCCAGGACCCACATCTCCCTGACAGGAAAGGGTCAAACCACTCTCTCTCCCCTCTTCTCATGGATTCTACTTTCATAGTTTGGAAACCACAAAACACATCCCCATAAATGTGATATTTGGTTTTGTGTATTCTCACTCTTTTAAGCAAGTTGGGGTGTTTTCCTTGGTGAGGGGGGTGGGTTGAGTTTAATTGCGACAACTTGCACTGGCTCCTGATGAACCCTTTGTACAGCATGGATGTGCCTGGCACCCAGCCGTGGCTCAGCGTGTTTGCTCTGGGCCCCCAGGTCCCCGGCAAGGCTCTGGAGCTGAGCAGATACAGATGCTGGTGTCACACCCAGAGAAGATGGGGAGAGGGGCACACATTCTGCTTGGGGACAGCCGCTGCCCCTCTCATTTCTTCATCTATCATCCAAGAGCAACTGAATTTACTCATGGTTTGCTCACAGCTGCTGGGCATCACGCAGGGCTGGTCAGCTCTCATGGAGCTTGTGCTAATCACTGATCCTCACGTTGGGGTTCCATAGGCTCCAGAGGCGGCCTGAAGGGTCCACAGTGATCTCTAATCTCTCTGCTTCCTTCATCACCCCCTCCGTGTGCTTCTTCCCCATGAGTCTGAATGTTTTCATGTGTGAAATGGGCAGCAAGAAAGGAGGCGGCCAAGTTCTCTGAGAGGAAAAGCCGGCCATTCTCATTTTCTTATAGGCAAAGAGCCTTGATGTGGGATAGGCTGTCACTCGGAGAATCCCAGGAAAAACCACAAATGAGTCGCAGGCGGTGCCAGCCCTGTCTGGTGTGTTCTTCCAGTGTGGATAGGAGGTGTCCCCAGTGCTCCTGTGTTAGTGCAGGCATGTTCAGAAGCAAAAGGATTAGATTATGGGGCTGCAATGTACTGGGCCCATTCTAGTTTGAAGAACTGACTGGGTGGTAACTGCAGGCAGGTGGGGTGTGGCTGGAGAAGGTGGGTCCCTGGGGGCGTGCACTGGAAGGGTGCATCTTCCCTATGGCTCCTCCCCCTTTCTCTCCACTTTTCTGGCTGCCTTGAGTGGAGCAGCCTTCCTCCACCACACCCGCCCACCATGATGTCCTCCTACCTCACCTTGGGCCCAGAGCAAAGGAGTCGCCCCACCACAGACTCAACCTCAGCAACCATGAGTCAAAATAAACTTTTCCTCTTCTAAAAGTTGTCATTGTCAGGTATTTTGATGAAAAACTGACTAACATGCTGGCCGAAGGTAAAGGAGCTCACATTTTGTTTGTCCCAGGCATGTGCTTAATGTCCTTGAGGGGATGTCTTTTCACCCCTCTGAGTTTCCCTGGGACTGCAGCTATAGGTGAGGTGGGCGTGCTGGGACTAAACTTAGGCTCCACGTGTGCTAAATACATGCTCTATGCTGAGCTACACCCCAGCCACGGCATTTTTTGAAAAATGGAATCAACAGCAGTTTTCTCAGTAGGTGTGTATCAGGTCAGAGTCACCGGTGATTGCCAGGCGCAGCTGCAACAGATGCCTGCAGCTTACCACCACCATCACCCCCCGCCAAGGTCCTGTTGGTCACCTCTACCTCTTTGTGCTAGGAGAAATGACAAGATGGCAATAACTTGTGTCTACAGATACCCGAACAGTGACTGAGTGTCAGCTGTCTGTGTGCTGCTTGGTGTGCTGAACCCTGAGACAATATGACACAGAGCATGGTCCTTGACTTTGGAAGGTTACATTGTACAAAGGGAAGCAGGCCTGTCAATCATCACTACAGTATCTTGCAATATGATACAGGGACAGAGCTGGTGGGGTAGGGAAGAGGAGAAGATCACAGACGGGAGTGGAGAAATTACAGAAATGAAGGAGTGAAGATGGGAGGGAATAAGAGATACTTGAGGCATCCCAAGCCAATCTGAGGGGTGCCCAAGGAGCAAACCAAAGGAGCCAATGGTTACATTATGGATGTCCTGAAGAACTAAATCAAGGAGGTTAAACTGGATTCAAGTGAAGGGGGAGATGAGGATCAAATATGCATCTTAGGGGTAAAGGGCTAGGTGATGGGCTTTTGGGGGCTGGCGGGGGAAAGTGGGAAATAGTGAAGAATCTATTTTGTAGTTCAGGGGAAGGCAAGGATTGCAGCAGAAGTAGCATTTGGGAAGAGTAAGACTAATGAAGATGAAGAGGCAGCTTAAATATGATATTGATCATAATCTTTGGTTGGCAGTAATAGAAGTTGGCTCTGATTAGCTCAAGTGGAAAGGGGCTTTATTTGAAGACTATCAGGTCGTTCAAAGATTCAGTGGAGAGTCTAAAGAGACAAGCTCTCTAATGGGCAGGAGCCAGAGAAGCCTGGGGTGGCAATAGTACCCCCTCCATATGCACTCAACCCTCCAGTCCCCTTAGGCTCCCCAGTGGCCACTTCTGTCTCCCCAGTGGAGAGTTCCTTCTCCATGGCCCCTGCATTCCCTCAAAAATGAAAATGAAAATCAAAACCACTTCACCTCCACCAGGATGGCTAAATAAAAAAAGACTGACAATAATAAGTGTTAACGAGGATGTGGGAAAGTTGGAAGCCTCTCATTTCTTGCTTCTGGGAATGTGAAATGATGACACTTTGGAAAGCAGTTTGGCAGATCCTCAAAATGTTAAACAGAATCGCCATATGATCCAGCAATTCCCTCCCTAGGTATGCAGCCAAGAGAAAGGAAATACACATTCACACAGAAACCTCAGAAACCTGTACATTAATGTTGACAAGAGCATTATTCTTAATAGCCAAAATGTCCATAATAGCCATAATGTCCATCAACGAATGGAAAGATAAACTGTGGTGTGTCTGTATAATGGAATATCACTCAGCCGTGAAAAGAAATGAAGAAATGGTACGTGCTACAACAAGGATGATCTTGAAAACATGCTAAGTGAAGGCAGTCAGATGCAGGAGGCCACACAGGTGATCCCATTTATATGGAACATCTAGGCTACAGTTTGGATCTGGATCATTCCCCAAGACCATGTGGTAAAGGCTTGGTCACCAGCCTGTGGCGCTTCTGAGAAGTGGTGGAACCTTTAAAAGGTGAAGCCTAGTGGGGGAAGTGAGGTCACGGAGACATGCCCTTGAAAAGGATATTGGGAACCCAGCTCCTTCCTTTCTCTCTCCTTTGCTTCCTGGCCACCATGAGGGGAACAGGTTTTCCTCTGCTACGTGCTTCCACCATGATGTGCTAACTCATCACAGACACAATAGCAATGGGGCCAAGTGACCGTGGACTGAAACTGTGAACTAAGTAAACCTTCCCTTATTTTAAGTTGTTTATGTCAGGTATTTTGTCACAGTGACAGAAAGCTAACACAATCCAAGAGAGAGACAGAAAGTCGATTATTGGTTGACAAGGGCTAGAAGGGAGGGAGAAGGTGAGTGACTGCTTAATGGGTACAAGGTTTCATTGATGAATTATGAAAATGCTCTAAAATTGCTGTTGGTGATGATTGTATAATTCCGTGAATACACTAAAAACCACCAAATTACATAATTTAAAAGGATACACTTTATGAAGTGCTCAATAAAACTGTTACTTTAAAAAATCAACTAGCAGCTGGGCACCTGTAATCCCAGAGACTTGGGAAGCTGAGGTAGGACAATTGAAAGTTGGAGACCAGCCTTGGAAATTTAACAAGACTCTAATCAGCTTAGCAGGACTCTGTCTCAAAATAAAAGTAAAAAGGGCTGGGGATGTAGCTCAGTGGTAGGTGCCCCTAGGTTCAATCCCCAGTATAAAAAAAAAAAAAACTGGTTAGCTGGGTATGATGATGCACACCTGTAACCCCAGTTACTCAGGAAGCGGAGGCAGAAGGATTGCAAGTTCAAAGCCAGCCTGGGTAACTCCACGAGACCCTGTCTCAAAATGAACAATTACAAGGGCTGGGGATGTAGCTGAGTGGTAGAGCACCCCTAATTTCAATTCCCAATACTGGAAAAATAAAATCAACTAGCTAGACATCCAACCATAGCCATCCCTGCGTGAAAATACAGATGGGCCCCTTTAGCTCTGTAGTGTGGCTTGTCCCCATCGCCAAAGGCTCACCCAGAACTAGGAAGGGCATTTGTG